AACTGCCCCAAAGTATGAACTCATTCCAGCATCAATTGCAAAGTTGAAAGTCTCATCCAAGTTAACTATGGGGTAAGGCTCAAAGTATTATTCGTCCAGAGGCAAATTCCCTCCACCTATGAGTCTGTGAAATCACCAGCTTATCTATGTTTAGGATACAATGGTAGGACAGGAGTAGGGTAGATATCCCCATTCTAAAAAAGAAACTGGCAAGAAGATAGGGGTAAGTAGTCCCAAGTCAGTTCAAAACCCATCAGGGAGAACAACATTAAATCTTTTTTTTTTTTTTTTTGGTAGAGGTTTTTTTTGCTATAGGGCACGTATGCTCGCCAGAAAGACAGAGAGAGACCAGAAAGTGAGAAATCATCCCCTGGGGGGATGGCCACGCCACAATCCTTTCTCCATTCTCTCGGGATCTTGGGCATGCACGCATACGTGCCCGGTGTGAATTTAAGACACTGTGTCCGGGGCTCGATCAGCGGTTGAGTACATGGGAGTTCAGCAACATAGGCATTCCGCTAACTGCTGGTCCCAACAACATTAAATCTTTAAGCTGACTCTATATGTTCCGTTTCTTGGACATATTAGGATGAGGGATGAGACTCTTCATGTCCACAGAGCTTTGCTGGACTTAGCCCAAACTTCAGCTCTCTCAGGTTAGAGCCCTGTGCCTGCAGCTCTTTTGGGCTAGAAATCACACACTGGTAACTCTACAGTTTTTGGACCTCAGGAGGGTTCCATTTCTATGATTCTCTACTTGGCACTGCCTTGGGGTGGAGACTCTCTGTGGCACTTCCGACCCCATATTTCCACTCAGCATTGCCCTTTCAGGAATTTTCTGAGATGACCCTGCCTCTTTGGAAGGTTTCTGCCTGGAAACCCAGGCTATCCATGATATCCTTTGAAATCCCCCATAGCTCTTCCATCTGTACATCTACAGAACTAGCACCACGTGGAGTCCTACAAACTGTATGACTTATACCTTCCAGGGCAGTAGACTGGGCCTTACCTGGGCCCACCTGAGCTGCAGCTGGGGTGATCATGGAGTATTTGGGAGCAGAGTCTTGAGGTGACTCTGGGAAGCAAGCCCATTAAGAATGACCTGGGTCTATTCCCTCAAGCCATTTTGCTCTCCTAGAGTTTTGGGCTTATAGACAGCAGGGGCATCCTTGAAGGTATCTGAAATGTCTTCAGGGTCTTTCTCCCACTGTCTCAACTCCCTTCTATCCATGGTAGTCTCTTTACCAACTAGTCACTTGGCCACGCCCTTTATCTTCTCTTCTGAACATTCTTTTTAACTCTTTATACAGTTAGGCTACACATCTTTCAAAGTTTTTCATTCTGCTTCCCTTGTAGTTAAAATTTCCCTCTTTAAGTCATTTATTTCCTCTTGGATCTTACTGTATATTTAAAAGAAGCCACAAAGCAGCCTCAATGCTTTCCTGCTAAGATAGATATCTTTTCATTCTTAAATTCTATATTCCATAAAGACCTCAGGCATGGACACAACTCAGCCAATGTATTTATTACTTTATATCAAAGATGACTTTTACTCATGTTCAATACTTCATTCCTCATTTCCATCTGAGACCTCAACCAAAAAAACCATACTGTCCATATTTCTGATTCTGATAACGACCCCTTAAGAAATCTCTAAGTTCGGGAACCAGCAGTTAGCATAATGGCTATGTCGCTGGACTCCCACGTAGTCGACTGCGGTTCGCATCCCGGACCCGGTGGCTTAAAACTCACACTGGGCGCGTGTGCGTGCGTGCCCAAGATCCCGAGAGGAGAATGGAGGAGAAGGGACTGCGGTGTGACCATCCCCGCTGGAGGGTGATTTCTCGCTTTCTGTCTCTATGTCTCTGTCTGTCGGGCAAGCACACGCGCCCTATAGTGAAAATCTCTCAAAAAAAAAAAAAAAAGAAATCTCTAAGTTCAAATGTTCCCTACTATCCTCTCCTTCTAAACACTCACCAGAACAGCTCTTCGGGCTCCATTCACAGCAATACAAGATTTCTCTGCCGGCTCCACATTCTTCCAGTCTCTACCCATTACTCAGCTACAAAGCCACTCCTACAATTTCAAGTATTTTTTTATACTAACAACCTCACTCCTGTTACTAGTTTTCTGGCTTAGTTTGTTATCTGCTGTTTTTGTTTTTTTAAGAAATTTTTGCTATAGGGCACGTGGGCTTACAGAGACACAGAGAGAGAAAGTGAGAAATCACCCTCCAAAGGGATAGCTACATTGCAATCCCTTCTCCTCAATTCTCCTCTCAGGATTTTAGGCACACACACACACACACACACACAAAGCGTGCGCGCACCAGGAATAAGTTTCAAGCCACTGGGTTTGGGACTTGAACTGCAGTTGGCCATGTGGGAGTCCAGCACCTTAACCACTATGCCACCTGCTGGCTTGTATCTGCCATTACAATAGAACATCGCAGACTAGGTAATGAATTAAAAAAAAGAAGTTTATGTGACTCATGTTCTGGGAGCTGGGAAGTCCAACCAAGAGCATGGCACTAGCATCTAGCAAATATTCCATAGTAGGAAGTGGAAGTGCAGAAGACAAAGAGAAAATGGGGGCCAAACTTAACTTTTTATTGGGAGCCCACTCCCATGGTAACTTACCTATTCCTATGATAATGATACTAATACATTTACGAGAGCAGAGTCCACATGGCTTGGTCAGTTGTCAAAAGTCCTACTTTTTCTTTGTCTTTTCAATGTTTATCCACTTCTTTCTTCCAAGAAAGAAAGAGGAGGGCACCCCAACAGGATTCCCATACCACAACCCACCTACCCTCAAATTCAGCCAGTTCCAGATCATGGATACTTGCACACCCAGTATATTCAGGAAAGGCTCTAGGCATAAGCCCAGAATGTGTTCATGTGAGTTAGCCTTACAAAGCATTGTATTTCCTCTGCATCACTTTCTGGCCCTGGTCCCAGCTCTTACCAACCCAATAGTCTAGCAAATATTCCATAGTAGGAAGTGGAAGTGCAGAAGACAAAGAGAAAATGGGGGCCAAACTTAACTTTTTATTGGGAGCCCACTCCCATGGTAACTTACCTATTCCTATGATAATGATACTAATACATTTACGAGAGCAGAGTCCACATGGCTTGGTCAGTTGTCAAAAGTCCTACTTTTTCTTTGTCTTTTCAATGTTTATCCACTTCTTTCTTCCAAGAAAGAAAGAGGAGGGCACCCCAACAGGATTCCCATACCACAACCCACCTACCCTCAAATTCAGCCAGTTCCAGATCATGGATACTTGCACACCCAGTATATTCAGGAAAGGCTCTAGGCATAAGCCCAGAATGTGTTCATGTGAGTTAGCCTTACAAAGCATTGTATTTCCTCTGCATCACTTTCTGGCCCTGGTCCCAGCTCTTAATACCAACCCAATAGCAATTAAATTTCAACATGAGTTTGGGAGGGTGCATTCAAACCATAGCAAATATTAAAAGGTTTTTGTGTTTGCATCATACACTCAAAGAATGAAAGAAATACAGAAAGGACAGCTACTTGGTAGTTATAAATGAATCAAATTAATTGATCAATAAATTCAATTTAAAGAGTAACTTCTGAAACATTCCTCTTACCTCAACTTGGTCAAGAAGACCTGGCAATAAAATGAAAAGCCATAAAAAGTCTCAAATCTTTCCTATTCTTTTCTTCCCATCTCCAATGCTATCAGCTTAGTTCTCAACATTAAAAAGTTTGGAGACCATCAGATGGCATAATGGTTATGTTGCTGGACTCCCACATGACTGACCATAGTTTGAGTCCCAGACCCGACGGCTTAAAATTGATGCTGTGTGTGTGTGTGTGTGTGTGTGTGTGTGTGTGTGTGTGTGCATACATGCCCAAAATTCTTAGAGGAGAATGGAGGAGAAGGGACTGCAGTATGGGCCATACCTCTGAGTGGTGATTTCTTGCTTTCTGTCTCTCTGGCAAGCACATGAGCCCAATAATAAAAATCGCTCTTAAAACAAAAAAAGTTTGTGACCAGCAGTTAGCGTAATGGCTATGTCACTAGACTCCCATGTAGCCAACTGCAGTTCGAGTCCTGGACCCGGTGGCTTAAACTCACACCAGGTGTGTGTGTGTGCGTGCCCAAGATCCTGAAAGGAGAATGGAGGAGAAGGGATTGCAGCGTGGCTACACTGGGTCCTAGATTCGAACTGCGGTTGGCTACATGGGAGTCCAGCGACACAGCCACTACACTAACTGCTGGTCCCAAAGTTTGTATTAGTGTAACCACTTCCTAATTAATCTGTCTCCAAGTCCAACCTCCTACTTTACCCATTCTTCAGTTGAAGTCCAGAGTAATTTCTGTGAAGTACAAATCAATCACATCACTTCTTGCTCAATTTTTCCACATCAAGTCAGGGTGTCCATGTGTCCCCATTCACAAACCCCCACTGTCCATAGTTGGCAGAGGTTTTCCCCAGGAAGGAAGGGCAGGGGTTGGCCACATACTGTCCTCAAACCCACAGTCTACAAAAAGAGGGCTGTAGCCAGTGGCTGCTTGGGTTTTTCTGTTCCAAGTTAAGTAATACTTGACTTAGAAATTAAAATGACAGGACTCCTAACTTACGTGTGAAGTTTTTCCACAAAAACATATTAACTACTAACATGTTTTAAATCACCAAAATCACTTTCTCAAACAATACCAAATGCCAGAACCCAAATAAAACCTGGCTGAAAAAAGTATTTTTGACATTGACCACCTAGGCAGAGGTTCAATCATATATTCATAGAATGAAATTCAAATTTAGTTGGCACAATGCCAAGTCTGTAAGAAGCAACAGCAGAGATATAATGAAACCTGATTTACATCTTTGAAAGACCACTGGGTTGTTATATGTAATATGAGTCAGAGCTATTCAGAAATTCAATGTTTCTAAGAACTCTAATGGCTGTAAAGAGTGGCATGGAGTTTCCAGTGAACGGGCCAATGTGGTGAAGGAGTCAAAGAATACCTGATCCTCGCTGGTCAGCCCCAGGTGCATCACAAGGTAAAAGTGTACCAGGAAATCTGAATTTGGCAGGACATCCTGGCGTCTGGTCATCATGGCACAGATCAGCCTGTAGGCTTGCAGCTTGCCTTCTTTATATTCATTTGGCAGTGTTGTTGCCTGTAAAGGAGATGATGTTTCCAGATTAAATCAAGTCCAGAGGCAAAGCATTTTGACATTTCATTTACTTCTCGGTTTTCCATAAGAGTTGTTTATGGAGATGTGGAATGTGGTAGCTTTAGTAATATCCAGCCTGTCTTCAAAACATGCAGTCTTGGGCAATTATATCTTTTAAACTCAATTTCAGGAAGGAAGAGGAAATTGCGATAAAGAAATAAACACATATCCACTTGCCTTAAATAGCCATGATGCAAACATTCTCAGCGGTGGGATCAAGACCGGAGGAGATGGAGAAGACTGGTTATCCAAGCTTATTGCTAGATTATCCCGTATCTAATTCAGAAAGGGGAGTATTTTAGGAAAGACAACATTCCATTTATTCTAGAAGTATTTCATTGTTTTCTTCTCTGGTCAAATAGCTGCTTCCAATTTAACTTCTACAAGTTGAATGGAAAACTCTAATATTTACAAGTTTTTCTTTTTACTGTGAGACCTACTGTGCTTTTGTATTGTGACTCTGGTTTACTATATGTGGTTTTAGGTTTAAATACAAAACTATGGCATTGTTTTTCCTTGAATGTTAAAGTCAAACTCCAATTGATAAGAAATGATTAAATAAGTCATGTTCTATAAACATAAATCACATTTTTGAAAAAAAAATGGGAAAAGTGTATCTTAGAACCAAAATTAAAACCAGAAGAAAAATTATATATAACCTAAGATTCTTCTTATATACAAAAGTTTACCCACAGAAATAAGACAAATACTAATACTGGTTTTTTCTGTGGAATAGCAATATTCTTTCATTTTTCTCCATTTTTCAGTTTTTATACAATAAAAACTGGTATCATTTTCATAAAGAGAATAAGTACAGGGGTCAGCACGTGATGTGGTGGTTAGGGTGCTGGATTCCCATATTGTCAATCATGGTTTAAGTCTTGAACCCAACAGCTTGAAAATCATGTCGGGCACGTGCGCATGCATGACTGCAATCAAAATCTCAAGAGAAGAATGGAAGAGAAGGAACTGTGGTGTGGGCATCTCCTCTCCCCTGGGGTGGGGGGTGACATAACTTCTCACTTTCCCTCTCTGTCTCTCTCTCTCTCTCTCTCCAGTGAGCGCATATACTCTACCGAAAAAAACTTCTGAAAAAACTATAGGATATTAAAGCAGAGTATTAAGTAGCTCTCATCATTTAAAAAAATTTGTATTAGTTTAAATAATGAGAATTTTAAATGATGAGAACTACCTAATAATCTGCGTTAGTATAGTATAGTATTATTCTACTGTTTGGACTACATGAAGTAGCTCTTCACATTCATAAAATATTTAAACTGTAGATACTATAATTTAGTCTTCAATAATCAAATACACTTGGCCTAAATGCTTAATTTGCATCCCATAAATACATTCAGTAGTTAATTACAAGATGGTTTCTACCACGGTTTTTAAGTGATAAGTCGATTTTCCTGGACTAGAACAACAAGTAACATAGTAGGACATACCTTTGCTAGCTTATACCAGAGTTCATAGAGATAGCCAAAGACTTTGGCGTGGATCTTGGGAGACTGGATGTTGTTCACATCTCCGAGGATTCCCAAGACTCTGCGCCACAGCACAGCGGCCGAGTCTGGGTGCCAGCCCGTGAGGTTCCCTCCTGCGATGATACTGCAGTCGTCCGCAAGGCATTCGCTGCTATCTGGGGAGAAAAACAAATGTATCAACCCCATAAACTCGACCTCGATTTCATCATAGCTTCTTTAAAAACGCAAATTAACTATGCTTTTTAAACACGTATGTGTTCAGAGGAAAATAATTAAGATGAAACATGTGGAATGGCTGAGAATTTAAAAGGACAGAACAGCAGGATCAGGGAAGAAAGCTCAAATGAGGTTGATTCTTCCAACTAAAAAGGCAGTTAGTTGAAGCTGAGGTTGAGATGACCATTCTTGGAGACCCTGAGAGGAGTTACATAAACCAGAGGAAGAAACACGAGCAGAACGAATAGGAACGAGCCCTGGAAATGGTGGCCAGGGATGGCCTTGGCACTGGAGTGACTTTTGTGGTGGCTGTTATTATTGGTAGGCTAGGTTTATTGGAAGTAAAATTTGTATACATGAAATTTCCACCCTCTTAGGTTGAAGGAGTTTTAAGGAAAGTAGGCCGTCGTGGGCCCCCATAATTGAGACATGGGACATTCTCATCACATCAAAAAGTGTCCCTTTATCATCAGGCCTTCCCTCTATTCTTAACTCTTCACAACCACTTTTTTGTTTTCTGTTCCTGTTAGTTTTGCCTTTCCAGAATGTCATAGAAAGAGATTCCTACACTGTGAAACCTTGCACCTGAAGTTCACCCACATGGTTGGGTGTATCAGTGGGTGTTCCTTTTATTGGCAATTATTTCATTTTGTGTATGTACCACAGTTTATCCACTACCTACTGGAGGACATTTAGATTGATTCTCATTTGAGGGTAATTGTAAATAAAACTGCCATAAACTAATTCATGTACAGGTTTGTGTGTGAACGTACGTTTACATTTCGTTTTGGTAAATGCCTAGAAGTGAGACCCTGAGTCATATCCTAAGTGTATGTTGAACAAATGTGAATGAGCAGAAAGAAACTGTTACATGCCTGTTCCAGTTTGCACTCTCACTGCACAGTATGGGAGTTTCACATGTTCCACATTCTCACCTGGACATGGTTCTGTTTTAAAAATTTTAACCATTCTGCGCCATATTTGTGGCCCGGGGGTAAAGGAAGCTGGATCCTATGTGGCCAACCATGTGGTTTGAATCCCGAATTTAGCAGCTTGAAAAACATGCCAGGTGTGTATATGAGCATGTCCAAAATCCCAACAGGATGGAGAATGGAGGAGAAGGGATTGTGATGCGACTACACACAATGGGGGTTGGGTTTCTCCTTCCCTGCTCTCTGTCTCACTGTCTCTTTCTAGTGAGTGCACAAGTCCTCTGGCTTATAAAACAACAAAAATTTTAACTTTTCTACTAGGAATGGAATGATATCTCACTGAGGTTTTTGCTTGCACTTCTCTAGTAAGCAAAGACATTAAGTGTGTAGTGAGTCATCTGATTCCAACCTGAAGATGGTGAGCAAAGGGGATGTGCAGCTGCCGGGGAGTGCCAGCCAGGGAGAAGAGCTGGCGCAAGGGCCCTGAGGCAAGAGTGTGCATGTGAGACAAACACAAAAGCACATCTATCTGTGTAATAAAGATTTCTTAAGTATAAACTTTCATACATTGAAAAAACAGCTAACGAAGAATTTAATGACTTATACAAGTCTACCTAATTTTCTATCACTGAAGTTATGGAATGTTACTCTTTGGGTACCTGTTGCTTCAGGATTGCTAAAGGCTGAGGAAGTTGACAGCTCCCTAAAGCCATAAGCCTTGGGCTATGGGCCGGCTCCACAGCCTAGGGGCTAAGGGAGCTGGGTGCCAGGCGGTCAACTACATTCAACCCTGGCACTGGCAGCTTGAGCTCATGTGCGTGTGTACTCCAAATCTCGTTCCGGGGCAATTATGTGAGATGGAAAAACAAAGAAGGGACTGTGGTGTGACCACACTCCATTAGAGTCATTTGTTCCTTCTCCCTCTCCCTATCCCTCATGAGTGCATGCATCCTCTGGCAATTAAAAAGAAAAAAAACTTCGGGCATATTCTAGAGACTTTGATATGTAATGTTTTCATTGTAGTCCAGTTCTAAATACTGGATCATTGGAAAAGTCATAATGTACTTCCCTCTCTTTTCTTTAAAGAAGTAATTATTTATTTAATTCCATTTGTTATTTTTACTTTATTTATTTATTTATTTATTTTTGGAGAGGTTTTTGCTACAAGGAGCGTGTGCTCGCCAGACAGACAGAGACAGAGAGACAGAAAGCGAGAAATTACCCCCCAGGAGGGATGGCCACGACGCAATCCCTTCTCCTCCATTCTCCTCTTGGGATCTTGGGCACGCACGCACATGCCCCCGGTGTGAGTTTAAGCCACCAGGTCCGGGTCTCAAACCATGGTCGACTACGTGGGAGTCCAGTGACATAGCCATTACACTAACTGCTGGTCCCAGTTATTTTTATTTTTAATTTGACCGGAAAGAGAAAGGGAAAGTGAGAAAGCAAGCCACCAGTCCAGGACTGCAGTCAGCCATATGGGAGTCCAGTCCCTTAACCACCACGGCACCTGCCAGCCCCTAGGATGTATTTATTTTTTATGTTTTTCTATGCAAAAATGCATCACGACTTTTTCCAGTGACCCGATATTTTCCAGTTCACGATGTGGTTTATTCTGAGACTAACTTATGTAATGTGTAGTTTTTAGTTTCTTAATGTATTTTCTGCTTGCCAAATTTTTATTATTCTTAATTTAATCAAGCATAATATTTCAAATTATAGAAATTGTTGAGATTTGTCCGATCAATTTTTGTAAATGTTCCACGTGCTTTTAAAAATTGCAAATGTTTTAAAGTTCAAAGATATGTATTTAACGATAACTCCATTTGATCAAGATTAATTGTAATATGGAACCTTCTCTAATCTAATATCTATTACTGTCTAATTCATCAACTAATTATAGTTGACAGTAACATTTCCTATTATGATAATGATCTTATTAGTAATCTCGTATACTTATATCAAATTTTTACTTCATATATCTAGATGCTATTAAGCTCATATAAATTCACTCATAATAATTTCTGCTTTAAAGCTTTATGTGACTGACATACACATAGCTATACTAAAACAGTCTTCCTTCTTTCCTTTTCCTTTAATTTTTCTTGCTTCTTCCTCCATGATTAAAAAAAAGCACAGATGTGAAAGAGAGAAAGTGTGTGTGTCTATGTGTATGTGAGTGTGTATGTATGTGAGTGAGTGAGTGAGAGAGAAAGAGAGAGAGAGAGAGAAAGGGAGGAACCCTTGACAGGATCTCTTTACACCATGATTCCCTTCCCCCAGGCCTCCAGCTCTTCAGGATCTGAAGCACTTGCAAGCCTACAGCATGCTTTCAGGCTGACCAGGGAATGCAAACACGTGATCAGCCATATGGCTTCCAGCTTGCAGGGAACTTGCATTACTGCTTGTACCACAGAGACTGTCTTACCCCCCCTTTAAATTGTTTATATTTATTGTGGTTGCTGATGTCTTTTATTTTACTAAAATCTTTTCTTAACTGAGGTGTCCTGTCACCTTTACTTTGCTTCTCTTTTGAATCTTTGAGGGTGGGAGAGGTTAATAAGTTGAGTCCCACCTTCAACTTTCACCTCCCTTCTCTAGTTGTTATTAACATAACGATTCTCAAAGTTCTCTTCTTCACACCATACAAATGAAGACAGACTGACTTCTAGGCAAGTGTCAAGCCCCACTGTGTGTCATCTTGAGGATATAGGTGGTTGGTATAGTAAGGGCTAATCAAAGAAACAGGCATGATCTCTGGGTATGAAGAACTCAAGTACAAGGATGACAGGACCAACAAGGAATAAATCTGAAAAGAAGCCAGGGCAGACTTCAAAATTGCTGCCAATAGCTATTGACAGTGGAGATGGGCAGATCCTAAGGCACTGAAACAAAGGATTCCATCAGGATGACACACAGTGCCACAGAAAGGCCTTCCTGGGGAGTGCTGCTTCTGTTCGGAGAAAACCCCATCTGTAATTCCCACATATGTCAGTTGAGAGTCTCATTATGTGCAGATACAGTCCATGCAAACTAGAATTTCTACGCATAGTGCCTACAAGCTCAGGGTACAGACAGCAAAGGCCTAATTGTAGGCCTGGTGGGTTCTCTGACTGACTTCAGTGAAGCCTCACATGGAGACTTGTCCTTCTCAGTGTGCACAGAAAGTGCACCATCAAGCACCTGTCAGTCTCAGAAGGGATGCAGATGCTTCAGTGAATACGTACAAGCCCCTAAGTGAACAGGCAGTGTGATATGGCATTTGTTTTTCTCATAAGGAATGCCATGATGTCTTTAATCCTTGAAGAGGAAATAAAATAGAAAGGAACTCGATGATTTACAGCTTTGTCCCATTCTCCACCCCAGCCCCCAAAATGTAATCATCTAAAACAGAGATTAGCTCCAGCAAGCCGATCACACTGGAGCTCTGCTTGAGTAACTCCACGTGAATGTAGGCCAGGTACCTCTTCCCGGACCTCCTAGCTCCCTGCTACGACCTCTCAGAGAAGATCTGTCTCTGCACTGCTCAGGAAAAGCCACGCCTCAATGATAAAGTCCTAGGCAACACCTCCTGTCACATTATCAAAATATGCTGAGTCCTTTCTAAGTTTCGAAATGACTACATGCGCTTCCTCAGTATTACTGTGAGACACTGAAGCGAGTCGCTCATGGCATAAGGAATAGAACAGATGCTGACCTTTCACATGTCGACGGCTCCTCAGTGGAGGAGCGCCTGATTAAAACTGGGGCCTTGACAGAGTTCGGGAAATTCCATGTACACTCTAAAACAACCCAATATTTAGCTTCCTTTTCATTAGCAAGCTGGCATGCAAGCTAAGGGTCTTTTGTTTTATTATTACTATATGCATCAAAGGCATTTAATTTTTCTTTTTTTTTTTAAATTAAAGCAGGGGCTCTTAGAAACAAAATTATCTTACCATTTCCCAAGCAGATACATGATTTTTAACAGAGAAGTCTAAAGTTTACAACTTTGCATATACAGAAAG